TCTTCTCTTTCAAAATCAAATATTTCTGCGAATAATATTGATGAAAAAAATCATACAAAATCTATGATTGTTAATTTAACTGATTTATCAAATAATGATATTAGTCCAACTATACAAAATATTTCATTTGAAAGAAAATCAAATCAATCATTAATTGATTCTGGACAATGGACAAATACAATGTTATCAACAACTGGTAATAATACATATCCATTAGGTATGCAAAATTTACATCATTATCAATCTTCAATATCAAAAAATAATTATTGGCAATCACAACCAAGTCTTATTACAAGAGAATCTGTTATAAAAGCAGCACGTGATGTCCTTCCTCCTGGTGTTATTGATCGTTTATGTTCAAAAAAACATTGATCTGCACAAAAATATTTAATTTTTTTGTTTTGTATAGACTGCTTTGGGTAACCCGGTTTTATAGAGCTGTTTAAGAATGATAATGATTAGTTGTATTTTTCTTGTAGTCATTTATTTAGAAAATTGAATAAAAAAACAAATAGTATTGACAAAGATATAAACTTGAGAATAAACCATCTGTTAGAATATTTGTTCTTTTTTTTATTTTTTGTTCGACTTACAAATGATCACAATAGTAACAATGAGAAGTCAACATTTGGTATAGTTTTGCTTTTTCACAATAATATGTCCAGTTACTTTAGTAGATTCTAATTGTAAAGATAAAATAAATACAAATGAAATCTTACGTGAAGCATCACGTTTTGTTAATTCTGTATTTAATGGAAAACATTTTGTTGTCGGACAAGATTATGCTAAAATAAATATTGTTCATGTTTATGGTGGTAAAATCCAGGCCTCGAAATCGAGCCACTTTTTTATGGCCCGCCCCACCTGACGAATGGCCTAGATCTGCTCGGCCCGAGCCTGAAAAAAATTTCGTTTACAAAGATTTTTTTCTCAATGGAGAACTATTGCATATTTTTCGTCTTTTAGAAAAAAGTGATGACCAAAGGGAGGGGGACTAGCGTGGAAACTGTCCCCTATCTCCCCTCAGAGGTGAGTCAAATGTGAGGAAAACTTATGTCAAAAATGGATAAAATCGTTGGACCGGGTGGCCCGTTTCGAGGCCTAGCCACCCTACGATATGAGATATACATTTGATCAATTAATGAGTGAAGATCTTAAACAACTTGTTCCAGAATATTTTGCTTATTTGAAAAATATAATAGAAGACTTGATTAAGCAATTGCCACTGGTAAAGATAAATATGATATTTTTTTTGTTTGAATAGTTTATTGCAAAATGGATTGTTAAATTCGGTTTACGTGGTGCTCTTGATCTTAATTATGATATTACTCGTATATATATATATATACACCACCTTGGTATGATGAAGAACTTCAAGCTTTTGCTATTGGTAGTGATATATTATATGAAGATATTCGTCGAATTAATCTATTTCCAGAATTAATCAAAGCTACATGCAGTGTATTAGAAGCATGGGGTAAATCTACATTATCAGCAACATTACTTCATCTTCATTCATTAGATTGAGATGAAAAAGCTCCAATAGTTAAATATGTAACAGCAACTACCTATCATCCAAATTCATTTTATAAAGGTTATGTTAATCATTTTTATGATTATTATAAACAAGAATATACAACATCCCATGCTTTTGCTAATTTTGGTTATGCTGGTCTTATTGGATTAATTGGTGCATATATTGAAGTTTCAATTAGTGTGTGGGTGTGGATGTGGGTTGTGGGTTTGGGTGTGCGTGTGGGTGTGGGTGCGCGTCTTCTAACAGAGATACCCACACTCATATCCTTGTTTCAATTTTTGTGATATCCTGAATTTTGCAGTTTTTACTAGCGTTTTATAATAATTTTTTCCAGATACTCTCATAAAGAGAAGTGTAGTGTTAAAGTTCGCTTATATATACACCACAACAACATGTTAATAAAACGGTAGTAAAAACTGCAAAATTCAGAATATCGCAAAAATTGAAACAGTCAAAAAGATCACCGAAATCTCGTTTTTTTCAGTGAAATTCGAAAAAATGTATTTTTAAAATTTCAGTCAAAAGTGTTGATGTTTAACGTTACTTGCAAAGTTTATCCGTATCAAAAAAAACTTCGCGGTGATGTCTACCACATGCCACAAAATTGGTTGATTTGTTTTGACAAATAAGAAAGTTATATGAATTTACTTTTCTAATGGACTTTTGGAACACCCTATAGATCGGTTCAGTTCGAGCCAAAAGAGAACTAGACTTGGTAAAGGTTGCCAAAAAGAATTCAAGGTGATCAGTCGATAGGAAACCAAAATCGTTTTTTGAGCCCAGGATGTCTTTAATGATAAGATTTTGTCTTCATCAGCATGATTAGTGAAGTAACTTTGAAGAAAGTTTTATTTGTGAGTAAAACATGGGCTAAATTGGAAAAATTTTTTATAAACAAGCCGTCAACTGCACTAGCAAAGAGAGAAGCTACCCATGCGTCAATTTTTTCGGTCCAGCCCAATCCATCAGGAACCCTGATCTGCATCGACCATTAAACAGTGTCTGATGTGACATATGTAGGAAAAACATATCAGCAGCTACGTGATTCCATCACAGTTCTTCATTGACAATGTTTCTATAATTATGCTTCAAGCATGTTGAACCATGCTGAAAAATCATAAAAAGCAAAAGGTCCCAGTATTTGCAGTTCAAATAAAACAAGACATGACTTTTCACTCAGTTTGAGTAAAATCATAAGCTAAGGATAAACATGTAATGTCAAAAGCTGGACAGGGTTGGACTAAAGTCACGTTCTTTTTTCAATCTATTGTTGAACAACAGTACAATCACCGATTTCGAACTCTGCCCTATTCATTGAATTGATGTCGTCATCTGACTCCATTACCTTATTCGGCGTGTATTAGAGAGTAGCAAAACAAGATTATAATTCTAGAAAGGGTTATTACCTGTTGTTGTCAATAGAAGACTCTCGGGCTCCTATTTACATTTTCTAACTCTATTAGTTTTGATCAGACTTTGAACCATTTAGGTTTCATTCCAGTCTTATGTACGTTGGCACTCTAAATTTAGTATTATCAGTGTAAACTTTTCGAATGGTGCATCATCGGTGAAAACATTTTGAGTCTTCCAAAATATTTAAACGCAAAAGAAGAATCGCATTGCACAAGAATCCAAATAAAAATAACATTCTTTGTTTTGTTTTTTTTTGAATCAAAAGAATTTATCTTTTATCGATAATAAAGTATTGCTCATTTAAATTTGATACTAACATCATGTTGTTTTATGTTTTTCACGTAAATCATTTAATATTAAACAAGAACGAATGGTTTCTGAATGTCGTCGATCATCACCAGCACGACCAACTTTATCAATTTCTTTAATAATTTTTAATAAATCGAGACGTTGTTCTTTAACAGATGGTCGACTATCACCATGATGATGAAGTTTATTTAATTGTGCATTTAATTAAGGCTTTGTTTTTAAGAAATAATCAATCTAAAAAAAAAGAAAAGAATATTTAGTTATTTGAGATTTGTTTTTGTTTATTCCAAGGTTTATTGGATACAATTTGTCTTGATTAACGATTTTTTAAATTGATAAACCTTCTTTTTTCGTCGATTCAAGCATTACTTGTTTTTTGGGGTGTGGGTGTTGGGTATCGGTGTGAAGAAACGGTTCAGACTTTTCTCACATCTATGCCCACATCCACACCCTCGACATGAAATTTGCTATATTTGTTCATCGAATAGATCATCACGACGTAGGTGAAGTTAGCGTCCGATTCGAGTAAATCTGCCGCCGATTCGCTCAGGAACATGCTCCAAGTGCTCCAATCGGGTTCCAAGTACAACTCGATGAGCTCTATCAAATGGTGTATTCGGACATTCCATAGCTCAAACTGAGTTTCCAGAAATCCCTGAATACTGGTCCAAAATATCAAACCGGCAAGTAATTCTACCGTGGATTCGCCCAGGAACATGTTAGAAGTGCTCCAATCGGGTTCCAAGTACAACTCGATGAGCTCTATC